CTGTAGTGTAGACCTGGCCTAACTCCAACTAGAAATAATCCAGGTTCCGCCCCCAGCAATCAGGATGCAACACTTGCACTCTGAGTGATGGCCAGATTCTGAGAGTCATTTATTTGATTCTGGAAAGATGTTGGACATAAATATTTGTAAGTTCTCTAGGTTAGGGTCTGTTTTTTCATTATATGCATATACTGTGCCAAACACGATGGGGCCTCTCATCCTTGATTGGTGATGTCTAGGTGCCACCTCAATACAGATAGTAAATAATAAACATGTTTAATTTACCCACATGCCTCTTCTCCCCATCTACACTTCAGATATATGTCCTTAATACTCAGGGCTTGTCACTGAAATGGTGCAGCAGCAGAGCTGTGCCACTGTAGTGTTTCAGTGTAGACAGTACCTATGCCAACCGGGGAGGAGGGATTCTCCCATCGGCGTAAGGAATCCACCTTCCAGAGAGGCGGTAGCTAGGCTGACAGAAGAATTCTTCCATCAACCTAGCACTGTCTACACTGGGGGGTTAAGTGATCTTAAATACACCACTCAGGCACATGGATTTTTCACACCCTGAGTGATGTAGTTAAATCAACCTAATTTTCTAGTGGAGACCAACCCGCAGGTTGCAAAGGATTTCCAAAGGCCTCCTACAAGAGTGACAATATTAATATCCTGGTTCTCAGGCTATAAACATTTAATTTCCAGTTTATATGGAAACTTTATACGTAGGAGAAAAGTTGGCATATGTTAAAACAGGGAAAACTTTATAGGAAAAGAAATCTCCTTTGAGCAGTGGTCCCAGACTGGGAAATACCTGCCTCCATCCTATTATTATTTATTGAAGCTAGACAAATTCAGAATGGAAATAAGGGGTGCATTTGTAAGTGACAGTAATTAACTATTAGAACAACGTACCAAGAATTGTGGAGGATTCTCCTTCACTGGCAATTTTAAATCAAGATTGGATGTTTTTCTAAAAGATCTCCTGTTGTTCAAACAGGAATTATTTGGAGGGAAGTTCTGTGCCTTGTGCTGCGCAAGAGGTCAGACTAGATGATCACCGTGGTTCCTTCTGGCCTTAGAATCTATGAAGTTATGAATTATTCATTATTGATTTGTGTGGCAGTAGCATCTGGGAGCCCTGGGACCAGGACCCCATTATGACAGGTGCTGTACAAACACAAAGCAAAAAGACAGTCTCTACCCCCAAAGAATTTACAATCTAAGTATATGACTCTATTAAAATAAGAACACTATAAGGTGATGTTTCAATGTCTCTTCACATTAAAATAAATAAAAATAAATTCTCAGACTTGCTATCGAGAATGTGTGTGTATGAGAAGGAAAGTTACATTTTGCAACATAAAATCATAGAATCGTAGGACTGGAAGGGACCTCAAGAGGTCATCTAGTCCAGATCCCTGCACTCATGGCAGGATTAAGTATTATCCAGACCATTCCTGACAGGTGTTGGTCTAACTTGCTCTTAAAAATCTCCAATGATGGAGATTCCACAACTTCCCTAGGCAATTTATTCCAGTGCTTAACCCCCCTGACAGTTAGGAAGTTTTTCCTAATGTCCAACCTAAACTGCCCTTGCAATTTAAGCCCATTGCTTCTTGTCCTATCCTTAGAGGTTAAGAAGAACAATTTTTCTCCCTCCTCCTTGTAACAACCTTTGAAACCTTGTAACAAACGAGCCGTTGGGGGAGACTATTCCCCAGCCCCTCCCCCTCTGCCCAAGGCCCCGCCCCTCCTCTTCCACCACCACCGAAGCCCAGAGCACACACCGCCGCGTGTCCCCAGTCCCGGAGCGCTGGGTGGGAAGCACAGCTGGAGGACCCCCAGCCCCAACATGGCAGGCGGGCAGCACGACCAGAGCGCCCTCAGCCCCAGCGTGCTGGGCGGGCAGCGTGGCCGG